TGTAGCACAAAAAAGCTTACCTTGTCTAATTTTTAATAAAAATGTCTAGCCAGAATCTGATTTTAGTATAAATAGGCTTTGTATTTTAAGTAAGTTTTAGATTGTGTAATGAGTGTATGTCAACTAGGTTATAATTAGGAAAGCAGATAATGTTTGTTACAGTAAGATGTTTCTGCAGACATGTTCTGGAGAAATTCCCAATTCCTATTGTGTGAAAGGATTTTATGTTTAGTGTTGAAGACTATTGCTAGTGTCCTGTTGTTGGGCTCCTCACTGCAAGAAAGACATTGAGGCCCTGGAGCACGTTCAGAGAAGAGCAAGAAAGCTGTGAGGGGTCTGGAGCACAGGTCTTATGGGGAGCAGCTGAGGGAGCTGGGATTGTTCAGTCTGGAGAAGAGGAGGCTCAGGAGAGACCTTATTGCTCTCTATAATTACATGAAGGGAGATTGTGGTGAGGTGGGAGTTGGCCTCTTATCCTATTAACTAAGAGGAGATAGAAGGAATGGCCTTAAGTTGAGCCAGGGGAGATTCAGGTCGGACGAGAGGAAAAACTTCTTCTCCAAAAGTGTGGTCAGGTGCTGGAATGGGCTACCCAGGGAGGTGATGGAATCACTATCCAAGAAGGTATTCAAGAAACATTTAGATATTGTACTGAGGGACATGGCTTAGTGGGGAAATATTGGTGGTAGGTGGCCAGTTGGACTGGATGCTCTTGGAGGTCTTTTCCAACCTTAGTGATTCTGATTCTATGACTCTGTTATGTCTTATGATAGAGAACAGTACAGGTCACTAGGTAAATTCAGGAGAGGTGGGCAGCTAATCTGAGAAATTTAAGAGACACTGTAGCTTTTAATTGATTAATGTGTAGTATTTAAAGAAATGCTTTTAAGATAATGTAAGTAAAGCCAAAGCTTATTTTTTGTAGGTTTTTTTTTGTTTTTTTGTTTCTTTTTTCTAATAGTTTACAGCTCATACGCAAGGCATAAATTGACATTGGACTAGACACTTTTTCAGTTTATATTATTTTAAAACTACTTCATTTTATTATTCAACATCTTTATTAAAAAGAAACTTGCACTAATTTTATAATCTGTTACACTGACACTTTAAAGCTACTTTTAAAAATGAAGATTCAACAAAGCATCTGTGGTAGAACTTTGCACACATAATGGAAGTACTTTAAGCTAAAGTGTTCCATATGTATTCTAGATAATGACTGTAAATTCTGTGAAATATTCATGAAAAGTTAAGTTCAGTTCTAGTCTTTTGTTCATGACAGAACACCTACTAAAATCATAAAACTAATTAAAACATATATTATTAATGCTTCTGGTGGTTGTTGGATTTAACAAGGAAATATTAAATTGTTTAATTTCAGAGCAGAAGTACAGAGGAGTTTTGAAGTGTTGTCACTGGCATGATTCTTTAGATAGTCTTAGAGGTAAGATGTAGGTAGATCAGTGCAGATCTGTTCAGTCTGTGATCATCTCATGATTTCACAGCAGAACCCTCAGATGTGGCCTTAAATCCAGCTCCAAGTTTAAAAAGTTAAGATTATCTTGGATTTCATGACACAATATAGATAACAAGTCGTAGGTTAGACTTGACTTAAACTAGCGAACTAGATACAAAAGGATATGTTACACTATAAAACTCACCTGAATCTTGCAAATTAAAATTTTACTTGAAGACATTAAAATTTTCTCTTTTTGTTTTGGTTTTATTTTAATTAGGGAAAACTACATTGATCAAAGCCTTGACAGGGGAAGCAGGAATTCAACCCCGAAATCAGCTGTTTGCTACTCTTGATATTACTGCTCATGCCGGCTATCTGCCCTCACATATGGCAGTCATATATGTTGACACTATTGGTTTTCTGACTGATCTTCCACATAATCTGGTCGAGTCCTTTTCAGCTACATTAGAAGAAGTTGCTTACTCAGTAAGTAGTCGACTACAAATATTAAAAATTAAATCAGTTTTCTTTTAGGTAATCTTTGCCCCGTCAGGAAGGGGGAACTTAACTGGCATGCTGTTCTTTGTATCTGATGTCCTTAATAACATGCTTTTACTTTTGGCAAGCCCTGAAGTGGTCAGGCCATTGGACTAGGTTTTATTTGTATGTCTCTTCCAACTGAACTATTCTATTCTCTGAGGACAGAGATATAAACAAAGCTTGTATCCTCAAAAATAAAGAAATTCAGTGGTAATTGGATGCCTGTACTTCTGAGGATTGGAGTGTGTAATAACAGGAATTTCAAAAGCTAACTGCAGCTGTCACTTTTGTTTTTTCATGTGTTAGGTGAAAAGCAATAAATTTACGTTTCATTATTGTTTTCTAAAGTTTGAGACAGTGTCTGGAGCAAAGATGCTGAAATATTTTGAATGCAAATATTGAGTTTTCTTGGTTTTTATCGTGGTTTGCCTTAAATTTGTGACATTTCTAATCGTATATGTTCTTGAAACTGGTAACTTTTATATAAAACTTCCTAAGTGAATCACTGGTAACAGTATCTCAAGAGCTATGGATAAGGAAAGTATTAATTTAATAGCATTCTGATAGTTCATTTTATAGTGTTAACCTGACAGAATATTTTCTAGTGGATAGGAAAGTAGCTTGTATAAAACAAATGCAAAAATAGTATGAAATCTCTACAACCCAGTAACTGAAATGTTCCATTAAGTAATTTCTGTATGTTGATGCTTGCTAGGATCTGATAGTTCATGTGAGGGATATTACTCATCCTGAAACCATCCTCCAGAAAGCAAGCGTTTTATCAGTTCTAAAGAATCTTAATCTTCCAAACCATTTGCTGGAATCAATGGTAGAAGTTCATAACAAAGTGGATTTGATAGAAAGGTAAGCAAGAGATGTCACATGTAATTAAACATTTCTTATGTTCTGGATGCTTCTCAATTCTAGAAGAGAATACACACTTCTGAATACATGTTTTTCCATCTTTACATATACAAGTTTTTCAATCTTTACAGATGTAGCCATGGTCTTAAAACTTAATTTATTATCCTTAAATTTCAAAATAAATCACTTGTGTCATAGAAGAAACAGTCTCTGTAGAGATGTGTGACGTAACACAGCTAAATTGTCTGTGCTTGGAATATTTTCACAGTCTAATCTTTACTTACAAACTTGCGGATAATTATTACTTTTCAGCTATGAACCCACTGAAGAAAATGCTTTAGCTATTTCTGCTCTACATGGGCATGGTTTAGAAGAGCTGAAAGAAGAAATAGAGAAAAAAATTCTGAAAGCAACGGGAAAGAAGATTCTGACAATTACAGTCAACTTACAGGGACCTCAGCTAAGGTAAACAATTTTGAGTTTTAAGGACTTGAGACTTAAGAAGGACAGATATGAAACTCAGTCTTGCAAGTCTTAAATTTGCAAAACATACCACACTGATTTTAATTTTCTTTAGGAACTGTTGTGATAATTGTTTGATAGCTTATTGAAAGTAGCCATGGTAGATACTGTGTTTATACTGTAAGGTAACTTTTTGAAAGACCATTCCACCTGGTCCTGGAGCCAGATTTCTGGGGAAAAAATCCAAACCAGAGATCTGAAACATTTATGTAATTACTATATTTTATTTCCAAACAGCAAGTAGCAAAAGAAAAGTTAAGTGAGGAACTTCATCTTTTATGGCGTTGAATTACTTAGATTGAAACACGTAGACCAAAAACAAAGATCACATTTTGTGCACTTCAGGATACCTTTAAGATGCTAATACACACTCATTTTTACAGTTGGCTCTATAAAGAATCAACGGTTCAGGACGTAGACGTCATGCCTGATGATGGTACAGCCAGGGTGAAGGTGATCATCAGCAACTCTGCTTTTGGCAGATACAGAAACCTCTTTCCTAGCAGTAAGATTTTTGTAGCATGAAATCCTTCTGTCAAAAAAGACACTGATCTCATTAAGAAGAATGGAATTAAGCTAGTGGCCTGGATGCTGGAGAGTTTATTTCTTAACCAGTTGATGCTTTCGACACATTGTACAAATGGACGGTGATTCAGAAAACTTTTGTTTGAAAACAACAGCTTTGAGCTTCATTCTGGCAGCAAGAGCAAGGATAGCAGTAATTTTTATGTTGGAATAGTCATTGACTCTGAACCTCAAATGTGGAATCACAGGATGGCATCTAAGTTAACCTTCAGGAAAATACTACATCACATAAAGACTTTAATCCCATTTTTCAGAATAAAATATTTGTTACAGACAAGGTGTTCCTTGGTCATCAAAAAATGAAAGTTACTGAAGAAAACACTGTTGCCTGTATATAAATAATAGAGATATTTCCACGTATTCTGCTTGAATATTTACTTAAATAAATGCCATTTATTACTGCAGTGAAGCAGAAACAACACTGATGTGTATATTTAAGCAAGTAATAAAGTGAAAAGTGAGCTGTGAGCATCTTCATCCACAATACCCACTACTGTGTCAATTCTTACAGAAAAAACGTCAGTATTACAGAAAGGAGAAACAAAACTGTATTTCAGTCTTTAGTACACAAAAAAAGATTTATTAGGTAAAGAGCCAAGACACTTGAAAGGTACAAAAGATAGGCAGAAAAACATTCTGAGTTAGAACAGCACTTCGTGCATGTGGCGGCTATTTAAAGAACCAAACTGAATGACTGCTCTCTGTGAAGTAAACACAAGTGAGATCAAGCATAAACAGCACTGTAAATAAGCATTTAGAAAGTCTTCTAACTAAGTGGAATGTTTGGTTTTCACTCCTACATAGTCTGCAATTGTGGGAGACTGCATGAAGAGGTAGCATCTTCGCCTTTCATCCCTAGAAGTGAAAGGTAACTTTGATCTGGTATCAAGTAGCAATCCATTTGGAAGTTAGGCAGCTACCTACTGCAAACACAACATCTTGCCAGACACTTCAACTCCATTTCTATGTGTAAAGTGCATATAAAAAGTGAGGTATGTTGATGACGCTGCATAGTAACTTTATACAATGCCTCTTTTGTTTTAGCCCTGATCTTTGTCCTTTCTCTTACCTTCACGATCATCTGTTATTGCACAGTTCATTTAAAAATTAGAAAAATAGAATTAATTTACATAAAACAGTGTTTAAGCAAGTAAGGAATACTTATCAAGAGGAAAAAACTATAGTACTACAAAAATATGTAAATAAAGGAACATCAGTCGTGAAACCTCACATAAGCATGACGATCCAATGATCTGTATTTTTAGAGCAGTCTGAGTTCAGACAGAAAGCAGACACATATGAAACTAATTTCTAATGTAAGAGGTGTTTTTGCAGCTCCTAATATAAAAACATTTCACTGCAGCAGACAAAACTGTCCATGGGTCTGGCTGTGGCAGAACTGGCATCGATGATAACAAGAACAAAGTGTTCTGTTACACATCTCTTAAAAATAGTAGGAATGTTGTGACTACCATGCTGGTGAAATGGTTCACAACTGATATTCAGCACATAATACAGCTAATACTAGATCTCCAGATTGATATACATATAAAGATTGTGGCAAGTAAGAATATCAGTATCTTTGATAGGTTAAAACATTTTTTTTCAATTGCTCACTTGTATATTCAATACAAACCATGAAAACAGCAAGTTAGTTTCACACTGATAAAATACTGAGAATTGGGGTTGCAAGTATGTGCAGAAAGAAAATAAAATCACAGAATTATTTGTGCAGTTAGTGACATTTCTACTTCTTGCTCATATATTAAATAGTTCTTGAGACTTTCAATATTTTCAGCTGCTACAGGATCTAAGCACCTCCCAAGTAAATTATGCCTATTCCACATTTCTATAATGACTTCAACAAGACCTTCCTGCTCTCCTTTTTCAAGAAAAGACTTTGAAAGCCTGATGATTTTGAGAGAGTTTTTCTTAATGAGCTTTTAAAAATCCCTGGTTTAAGTTAACCAGATCTTTGTGTAGTCCGGGATGTTTAAACCAGGAAATATTAAATGCACACAAAGTCCTTTCAGCTTTTCAAAGATTTTTTAAAGAGCTGCAAATGAAATGCTCTTTGTTCCAGACCCTTTGCTGGGACAGTGTAACTGAGGATTAATTTTGGCGTTAAGTTCTATCACATCTCTGACAAAATCGTCGTTTCCTATGAAGTCTCCAGCAATGATGTTAATACATTCTTTTTGTGGTCCTGGATACTGCTTCCTCACCCAGATTTTCAAGCATGGAAGACTCCGGAGTGTCATTGTCTTCAGTGATCCAAATGGGTGTACAAGAATGTACCTTAAATTTTCGGTGAGGTTAATCCCCGCAACGAAGAATGTTTCTGAAACAAAATATTGAAAAGTGACACATTAAATACTCCTCTGAGGAGAGCAGAGACTGCTCAGCATTGCATTCACTCAAGGTCTGGTTCACTGGGAATCATTCACATGCTTAAGAATCTTTCCGTATTGTTTCATAGACCTAGAACTGTTTCAGGGGCTGTCTTCCTTTATGCTATTGTGTGCCATACTGCTTTTTCCTCATCCTTAGAGCTGTCTAAAGAAGTAAAAGCCAGCAAGTACTGGGCTCAGACAGTAGTCTCTTATGTGTGACAAGGCATTGACAGCCAGCTGGCTGTCCTGCAATGAGGAGAAAGGGCTTGTGCTCTTTTCCACATGATCCCATAGATGAAGGAGCTGCTGCAATGGTATAGCTTGTGTATGTACATACACTTGTGCACATGTTTACACAACCAGGTAATACAACATGCAACATTGCACTCACCCATGGGTTGGCAAGAGCATTCAGCAACATGTAAGTGCCTAGAGCACGCAGCACGCACAACGGCCTTCTATCCCTCAATGCTACGAACTGCCAGTCAACTATTTCTATGTGGTCTGCACTACTGTACGTGCCCCTTGTTTCCTTCAAGTAGCCCCGTGCGGGTACCTGGACGGCCCATCCGCTTCATGGCTTCTAGAAACTGGATGAGAGCACGAGTGGTAGTTTTGTTTCCCCACCAGTATGGGATTGCAGGCCACAGCTCACAGTGCTTCAGCACTTCCAGATCTTCTTCATACGAGACTATAACCTGGTAGCCATGCTGCCACATGGTCCGCAGAGTCGGAACCACCTAAGGGAAGTTAAGTCCGGGTTGAAGTCAGCAGGAGCTACGAGCCAACAACATCAGCACCCCCGAAGTTCAGACATCAATGTGTGAAGTTGCCTTGATAGCGAGGCACAGATTTGGTTCAAATAATGCTGTTAAATGTACATCCAGACAAGCTGTTGGATGGGTTACAAACTGAGCTTTTTTTTGAGTGCATCACCCATTCTGCAAGAGGAGCTAGGAGGACAAAGGCCTACAGCCATCTACAGAAAAACACACAATGAAACAGGAATGGTTAGAGCAGCACTGTCACACAGATCCAAGTTTATCGCCAAAGCCATTCGTGAGAACTCAACTGTTCAGACTCAGTAAGAAAATACAAATCTTAGATGTTGATCTGACTTCTGTAAGGGGAAAAGTTTTGGAAATTGGGAAACCTCAGTCATTCTGAATTGAGAGAAGGAAAAACTCTTGGAAGAAAACCAGATTGTCTGACACAGGTCTGTTTAATTTAAATGTTTCAGTATGAAATTAAATTTTCCAGTCCCCAAAAGTTGTCATTGGACAGAGTTGATTGGACACCAGTTTTATTTCTTCATTTATTTATTTGCAAACCCAGTATTTTAACAGACATTTTGGGTTTTCGCTGTGTTGCTTATCAAGTGGAAATGGTAGCTTCATGATGTTACAATTAACTTCTCACTTAAAATAAAAACCGAAGTGGAAACACTTTAATGCAAATCTTTGAAGAGAGCCAGAATGAACATAGAAATCCCTCTTGCTTCATCCATGAAAGAGAGTGTGAGCTCCAGTTAAATCAGAAAAATACCTCAAAATTAAGACACAAACAACAAAACGAGCTACAAAATCTGTGATTGACAGAGGCCTACGCTTTACTGCAGCTGCCTTTCTAAAGCTCAAACCTCTTTAAAAAAAAAGAAAAAAGAAAAACACATCACCAGAAATGTAACATATGAGCACAGGTGCTTATTTTGCAAACAATGCAGAGATGAAACTGTAGACATCTGACAAAGGATCTTTAAACTCAAATAATTCAGATCAAAGGCAGTTACAATTTTAAACACAATATAATGTTGTCACACTGTGGTCTGTGCCAGTACTACAGATCTCTATTTACAGCTTTATAAGCGCTTTGACACTTACTTTCACTTTACTTACAGAGCTGCAGTCTTGAAAGACAGTAGACATTAGATGATTTTAAAACAAGTGAGCAAGTATGAGGCTATGTGATGTTAAATCTGAATTCGTGATTCTGAAAAGGTTCCTCAGCCACCTAACTTGCAAAAGTGTCACCTACAGAAATGGCAGGATCCACTGTGCTGGTCACACACCCTCTGGAGATAAAAAGCATTCCTGGAGGAGGGCAATACTTGCCTTCACCCATCTCCTCTGCCCACTATCCCTCCCTCTGGAGGCAACATAGAAACATTCTTTTTCTTAGAATCACAGAATCACAGAATGGCCAGGGTTGGAAGGGACCTCAAGGATCATGAATCTCCAACCCCCTGCCACATGCAGGGCCACCAACCTCCACATTCAATACTAGACCAGGCTGCCCAGGGCCCCATCCAACCTGGCCTTGAACACCTCCAGGGACGGGGCATCCACAGCCTCTGCAGCCTGTTCCAGCACCTCACCACTCTCTCTGTACAGAACTTCCCCCTGACATCCAACCTAAATCTTCCCTCCCTCAACTTCAAACCATTTCCCCTTGTCCTGCTGTTATCTACCCTTTGAAAGAGTTGATTCCCCTCCTGTTTGTAGGCTCCCTTTAGGTATTGAAAGACTGCAGTGAGGTCACCCCACAGCCTTCTTTTCTCCAGGCTGAACAAGCCCAGCTCCCTCAGCCTGTCTTCGCAGAGGAGGTGCTGCAGTCCCCTGATCATCTTTGTGGCTCTCCTCCGGACTGTCTCCAACAGCTCCCTGTCTTTCTTGTACTGGGGGCTCCAGGCCTGGATGCAGCACTCCAGATGGGGCTTCACGAGGGCAGAGTAGAGAGGGACAATCACCTTCCCGTTCCTGTTGGCCACCCCTCTTCTCATGGAGCCCAGGATACCATTTACTTTTTGTTGCTTTTCTCCTTTTTCTTTTTTTTTTTTCCATTTGCTTTTCTTCTTCAGTGACATGACCTCAGACTATCACCTTCCTTCAACAGACTACCAGCAACAACTTGTCCCTCTTGCAATTAATCACTTCTTTTTGTTTTGGAACTGGCCATGCGTCTGAAAACAAATTTGGTCATCCTCTCCAGTCTTGCTCTGCTCAGCCACAACTTACACACTCAAGATACATGAGAAAACAATAAAATGTTTTCACTCAGGTCCTCCGTTATTCTGTTGAGGCCTGAATTATCAGAAACCACTAATTTTGCTGAGAATTGTTCTATTTTAACTCTGCCATACAAGATGCTTTGAAATGGTAATACTCAGCCCTTACTGATCCACCAGCTTCAAAGGATTAATTCAAATTGCAAACAGGGTCATCATTATCCTGCACCCTCACATCTCCAGAGAAAACCCTCTGTGCCTGCGCATCTTTGAAATGTTAATTGTTTAACTGCTAAAAGCTCCCACACCTTGTCAAAAGAGGAAGCTAAAAATCTCGGCTTCTAAAATGTAGCAGTCAAATAATTTCCAATTATTAAAATTAAAGCTTTTCTAGAGGTTTGGGTGACTGAAAGCTTATTAGGCTGCCTGGAAGGTCAGCTCTAGCTAAAGTGGAGGAAGGAAAGCCAAGGCCACTACTGTGGCCCCTCTCTGACGGCAGCTGCTGGTGTCAGCACATTCCCAAGTGGACTAGTGATGCACAGAAACCCCTGCACCAACTTGTATTCTGTTGGCAGCTGTAGCAGAGAGCACCTGATTTGGACTGATCTACTTTCTCCCTTCTCACCTGCCACCTCTGGCAGAAATCTCATGAAGCTCAGTAAAGGCAAATGCAGTGTCCTGAGCCTGGATGGAGTAATCCCACACACCAGGATAGATTGGGGACCCATGTGCGAGTCCACTGTGTCCAGCTGGAGCTTTCCCAGTACAAAAAAAGACTCAGATGTGCTGAAGTGAATCCAGCAGCATGCAACCAAGATGAGCAGGGGCTGGAAACTCAAATACAGGCTAAGAGCTGAGTCTGTTCAGCCTGAAGATGAATATGGACAGATCTCACTATTGTCTGCAAATACCTGATGGGTGGCTGTAGAAAAAAACAGAGGCAGCCGCTCCTCAGAAATGCATGCCAAAAGAATGAAAGTGAACACTCACAAGGTGCCACAGAAAAAATTCTGATTAGATATATGACAAACAAGGTTACTGCGAGAGTGGTCAAACTGGATCAAGCTGCCTAGAAAGGCTAAGGAATCTCTACCTGCAGAGCTATCCAAGAATGGACAGGATATGGCCCAACACGGCTTTGAAGTAGGTCTGGTCTGCCAGGTGGGGTTGAATTCCAGAGTTCACTTCCACCTAAGTTATATTATTCTGATGCTATAAATACCACCAAATGACTTATAATCATTGCTGAAAAGGAAGAAAAGGCATTCGTCTGAATTCTGTCAATAGAAGAAGGTAGTCATCTCCATCTAAAACTGAAAGCCCTTGCCATAGTCTGAACTTCATTTATAACAACACTTACTCACAAAAATCTGGCAGACTATCAGATAGCAGCTGTATCCCTACTATGGTCCTACAAATCTACACATGTGACAGTCAAATTTAATTCCCTCCTCCACACTATGCTTTATCTACTCAAATTTATTAGATAAAGACCTATCCCTGATGCAGTAAATGCTACTTTTGCTAGGAGAAAAATACAAGAAAAGCAGAAAATAAAACTCTCAACCAAACACTTCACTGTGTCTTAGTTTCAGCTGGGATGGAATTGTTTTCTTCAGAGGGTCTGGTATGATGCTATGATTTTGATTCTAGAAGAAAAACAATGTTGTATCAACATCAGTGTTGATAGTTACCGCCAAGCAGTGTTGCACAGAGCCAAGGCCATTTTCTCAGAAAGGCCCAAGGAGCTTGGAGGAGACAGAATTAGGACAGCTGACTTGAACTGGCCAAAAGGATATTCCATACCATATGACATCATGTGGAAGGAGTTTTGAAGGGGGAAAAAGTTCATCTCTCTTTTGGTGCTCAGGGAGCCAGCTGGCTGTTGGTCAGGGGAGTGGCGAGCAACTGCTTGTGCATCACTTGTTATATACATTCATATATAGATAGATATAGATATTCATAACTATTGTCTTTTCCCTTTTCTCTGTCTTAGTAAATAGCTTTATCTCAACCCACGAGTTCTACTTTTCTTTTTTCCATATTTTCTTCCCCATCCCACTGGGAAGGGGGGAGTGAGCAAATGACTGCATGGTGCTCAGCCACCTGCAGGGTTAAAAACCACAACACACTGTAATACATCATCCCTTAAAAGAGACAGAGAAAGATCTCATACTTACATTTCTTGGACACAATTTACACTGGAAAATGTGTTTTATACACCTAATAAGATGACAGTGAAGTTTCTTGGTTAATCCATCAAAATTCCTGCAGGCCAAGATAACAACTTCCTGAGGATGAGTTTCCAACCACTTTAATACTTCCCACAGAATATCCTATAAGAGAGAGTCAAGGCAACTTAGAAAATCATGCTACGCAGACAAAAGGAAATAAAACTTTTCCATTAATGAAACCATTGACAGCTGGATAAAACAACAACCACTGTAATAAAAAAATCCATGTAGGTTTTCAGAGTATGAACATCTTGTAGCCCACAAGGTGCTTCAGAGAGAAAAGCCAGAAAAACCTACTTTCTGCAGGTTTGTGCTGATTTACTCTGGCTGTGGGCCTAGCACACTACATTTAATAGCTTTGTATTTTGGTAATACCCATCAATCTCCTTACAGGCAGATTATCAGTAAACCCATCTTCCCAATCTTCTTCAAGGACAAACACAATGTTGGTGGCAAACTGGAAAATAAGGAAAACTCTGTGCTTGCTTAAACACGACAGGATCTGTTTTCCCCATTTGTTACAGGCAATGACGACTTCTTGGAGATCACACGTAATTAGCAGAGTAGACAGGCACTACATCTAACATCCCCTTGAACGTGCCAATCATCATGACATAAAAGGTTGAAATGATAAATATGAAACCAAGGCTTAGCCAGTCAGACTACAAACAAAAGCTGCTTTAGCTGGCTGTGCACTCCCCTGTGCCTGGCTATACAAATTTCACCAAATGCAAAGACAACGTAAACTGGTCCACAGAGAGACAGCACAGGCAAAAGAGCAACTTCACATTACAGTCTTCATAGGATCTGACAGTACTTTAATAATGGGACACAGACTTGAGTCTTGCAGTGAAACACTTATTCCTATTCCCTCCCCCCCTCCCAAAAAAAAAGCTTCTGTGATTTAGTAGGCTCTTAATACTTTCTTTTTAGTAACGTCTGTCTGTACTGGGGAAATATGACTGCCCCGGACAATAGCATCCTTGGACTACACAAGATAAACCCCAGAAACATAAGGCACTTGGTGGGGCATAGGTGGTAGAGAACAAGGCACAGCAGTTCCAGTTTGAGGATAAGAAACTGATCAACATTGAAACCTTAATTACAACTGCTGAAACTAGCTCAGTAACCAGCCCTGCCAACTTTCTCTAGTTCAAAGTCCTCCCATTAGGAAAACAAATAACCTATTCAGAAAACCTTGGGGAAGCATTTTCAGATGTGGATGGCCTTTGCATAAAATAAGCAGCACCATGTGTATAGCCATTCCAAAGACAAGGACAATACCTGTACAGTAACTGTTGTGTATACCATATGCACGAAGTACAGATTCATAGATGGATCGCCAGCCTTGTGGGCAATCCTAAAATCCAAATATCTAACTCCGGCCTCAAGTTGCTCCGTCACAGTTAGCACCTGGAGAGTTAAACAGAAGACAAAGGTCCTGAGAGTTTGAAAGGGGTTTGTTCCTTTAGATCAGATAACTGGAAAAGGTGTACCAAATTAGCCCTACCATTTCCACATCTTTCTTCTTTAAAATGGCACTGTAAGGTACGAAGTCATAACTTTAAATTATTCTACTATCTAACAAGAGGATTCTGATTTCCCTGTGGAATATACTCCAGATACAGGCTAGATTAGTTTCAGACCTCTGCATTTGTTGTCTTCTCAAAGTTAAAAGATCCATTAACCTGCGCATAAATACGCAATCTCTGTTCACAAGGCTATTTGTATGAACAAATCTTGCAGGATCAGCACCTCAGAAACTCTGTATTTATTTTATTAGATCAAAGACTTTACCATGGTTGTCTCTATGGACCTCACTCATCCTCAGTGGAAGGAAAAACAAAAATAGAAAAAAGTACTGGCTATTGTTCTCTTCTTAGGATAAAGTCTCTTTAAAAATTTGAATTAACTCGCAGAAGTCCTACAAACAGGCCTTCTTCTGTCTTGGATTTATCTCCATCTGGCTTTGAGAGCTACACGGGACAGGTTACAGAGCTGAGTCTGGGGCAACATGTCCCACATGACACATCTCCTATATTTATCACGGTCCTCTTTCACTAAGAGAGAATAATCAAATGGATTTAATACATTGAAATCCTACTTTGTCTCAGTTCAACCTGCTTGCATGGACAACACTATTAGGTTTCAGGAAAAAAAATAGACTGTACTAATTTAAGTCAGATAGGATTCAATTAAAGCGAAACCAGTGCAAGGTGTTGTGCCTAATAACCAGTTTTGTTAGTGCTGGGACAGAAATTAAGACTTCTGGCAGGATGTTCACCCTGCCTAGCTCTAGACATCCACCTTTATGCTCCTGGAGGGGAATTCAATCTGAGCTGCACATGCCTTCAAGTGCTGAGGATCACAGGAGCTGCCAGCATCATCCTCCACACTGCTTGGTCTCCTCAAGGCTGGAGAAACCAAAGGAGTGATCCATGCCCAAGACTGGCTTCCACATGGGGTGCAGAAAATGTATGGCTGTAGGTCATATGTAACCTTTGTGGCCAGAAAGTGCACCAGACTGATTAGTTGCTGTGAACTGCCCTTTGGACAAATTTCTTTCTTTCTACCAACTGACTGGGAAAACTAGAAAGATTAATCCCCCTAATTAGTCACTTGGATTTGCATACTAAATCAGACAGCACAACTATTGCCTCCAAGTGCAAAAAAGAGGATGTTTTGCAAAGCAGTGCAACTCAGCACAGCTATCTCACACCTGACATCCAGGTTGAGAGCTGACATCAGCCATTGCATAGGAAAGATATGGGCCTCCAGGCTGACACACATAAGAGCCAGGGCTGGGGCTTGGCATAGGGCCATCCAGGAACGTGCGGGTCCTGCCAGCAGCAGGATGCCTCGGTCACTGCTCCAGATACCAAGGGACAGAGTCACCTTCCTGCAGGGACGACCTGGCACTAAAGAGGATAGGCCTGCAGCCAGGTCTTCCCCATCTGCCAGGTCACCTCCCACTCAGCAAGCTGGGCTCCGACCAGAAAATGACTGTAATGATGTATGGAGCTTGTTTATCTCCATAAAGACCTTGTCCACCAGCAACTGGCAGGTGAGGAGGCATCTGAATTGGCATGAACTCCAAAGTTAAAAAAAAAAAGTGGTTCAAGAAAAGATAAGCAAGGAAGCCTAAGGATAATTATTGCCACTTCTCAATTATTCAGTTTTAAGTCACTACTAATGAACTACTCCTTCAAAAAGAACGAAAGTGAAAAGATTTCTGGTGCCTCTTTGATGACATGAAAGTCTGTCCTTCAGAAAAATCTTCAAAAGCGCTAACTTAAACCATGATCCCCAATTTCATCTTTAGCACACATTTGTGGGGAACAGCAGGAGATAACTGCTAGCTTAAAATTCAGTTGTTTTATAAAAATGAAATAAACCTTAAGTGAAGTGTCAGACCTTCATTCTCTTAATCTTTAAAGTCCCCTCAAATGACATTTTTGCCTTTGCAGGTCACTGAAATATTTACACAATAAAGCAGTGCAAAACAGGCGCTTCACACAACAGTGACAATAAAAAGGACATTGCTTTCTGAGTTAAGTGCAAGAAAAGAAAAACCCTTCTACTAACTTATTTTTATTAGGGTAATACTAAATGTTAATAATAACAATAAGAAAACTGTAAGGAAGATGAATTTCTAGCAGTCAATTTTAAGCAACAACTTTGTGAATCTTCCCTGTCCAAGCTGAACAACTTCTCCCTACAAATGAAGATCTGGTATCCACAGCACTGGTACTTCATGACAGTTGCTGGCTGTTCTCTCATTGCCTTATGGGAGAACAGGACCACACTTTGCACTTCAGCACAACATTCAAATGTGTTCAGGCTTGAGAACATCAGACATTTACCTGTGTTATGGACCACTTCATAATAATAGGGTGTACAATGCAGGGCATACATTTATTTAAAAACTTCACCAGCTTGGATTCATTGCCACTAACAGCAGAGTTCTTATCCAAGCAGTAGGTCATAGTGTCATGACTACCTGCAGAATAGAAAAATAAACAGAGAAAACATGTCATTTCTTAATTACCCAAGCACCACAATGCATGACTGCATTTCACACACACACCTGACTTTCCTCTTCATTTACAAAACAAACATATGTTGCCTGACAGCTTATGCAGTTATGGCATAAAGGTGAGCTCCTACAGAGCTCACTTACCTGGTGTTATTAGAGTGAAATCCACATAAAAGGATGGCACTGCACCTTTTCAGTATTTTTCATTAAAGCAGATCCCACTTAAACTACATATCACTGTTGATATCTGCCTCATACTGCATTAAAACAGCCCATTTCAATGAGTGTCTTCCACCAAAACAAGTATCTTGTTGTGAACGCTCTCTTTTTTGGGGAAATAAACAGCTCACAGAATCACCAAGGTTGGAAAAGACCTTAAAGATCATCCAGTCCAACCATCATCAATAATACTCACTAAACCATGTCCCTCAACACAAAGTCCAAACGTTCCTTGAATATAGAAGAGCACAGAACAGAATATAGACAAGGAATGTACCAAGATCATAAGTCCAGCTGCCTGATCAACATGTCTCTTTAACACTGACAGCCATGGGGCATCAATTACCTCTCTAGAAAACCTATTCCAGTGTTTGACCACCCTTACAGTAAATAAATGCCTCCTAATGCCTAGCCTGACTCTGAAGCCTTAAATCTGAAATACTTCTTGTCATAAAGATTCATTTACACATGATACAACTTACAACACCTTCAGGACAGGCAGTCAGTGATCTTGCTAGATTTTTCTGTCCTATTATTTCTTCTCATTTCGTAAAGCATCAATAAGAACAGCTAAAAACTTGATGACCTGATTTGCTGGGATCTTTACAGGGTATCTGCAAGGAATTTGCAAAACATTTTGTTTTTTTTTTAAATCCTCTGTTGAACAAAGCAATCACTGATGCTTGAAACCAGCTTCTTAAAAGGTCAGTCTAAACTGGTGCCAGTGGCAATGCTTCTAGTAGCCAAAGTGAAAGGACAAGATCATATCTGAAATAAAGAAAATTCTTTGAAACACTCAATAACAGAACAAGACAATAAACTGTTGTTCACCTTTTGAAATCTAGTTTATGTCTATATTTTCCTGCTTTAAATGACCCAACCAAGGTTATCACAGATGGAGGTTGGCAATGAGGACATTCAATCAAAAGAGTTTGTTTGAAAAGATGTATGAATCAAACCATCAAACCATCCATGGATGAAATCCAAGTCTAAGAGAAGCGAACATGATTCCATCAATGGGTGTTGCATCTGCTGATGTCATTATCATGGATAATAACTTTTCATTTAGGTGTCTTCATGTGACATCACTAAGTTAAAATGAAGAAGGATATACCCACAATACAGCAAGTTTGATTCAAAGATAGCAAGATAGCACAAATCCAGGCAGCTTCAAAGCTTTAAACAACTCTTGTCCTGAACCTGGTGCAACACAGTGCCAACTGCTAAGAGTTGCATCTGTCTCCTTGTCACATGTTCAGAAATCACATTCTCAAGTTTCTTGCACGCCTTGTTATCTTCTCTATCTGAGATGAGCTTAGTCATCTCATAACCCTTAGGTTATGACACGTTTATCATGCCCTAATGACCGGAGGGCAAGGCTGCCTTCTGTGGGGAGATGAGTAAGCTCCTGTTTCCAAATTGGGTTTCCTTCAGACATCGCTCCCTCTGAAAACCTGCTAGAGCTGTCTTGACCTCGTTGGTCTTGTTTTGTTCTATTCTGATCTGGGCTAGACCAGTTTAGTAGGTCAGCTAGAGAAGAAGCTTTCTTCCAAGCTACATGAGCTGCAGTGCACAGTAAAATCATCCTGTAGTGTTTGTTGAAATTGACTTGTCTTAGAATTAAAGAATAACCTGAGTTGGAAGGAACCCACAGGGATCAGCAACTCCAACTCCTAGCTACACATAGAACCAGCCAAAATTCAAACCCTATGTCTCACAGTGTTGTCTAAATGCTTCTTGAACTCTGGCAGCTTGGGGCCAGGACCACTGCCCTGCAGAGCCTGTTCCAATGTCCAACTACCCTCTCAGTGAAGAAACTTCTCCTAATACCCAGCTCGATACTCTCTGACACAGCTCCATCATTCTTTCATTCTTTTCTTCTTACCTGTCCACTGTGAAAACAACAAACATTCACGAGAATACCAAGATAACTGTTAGGAGTCAAGAAGTCAGAAGCACACATTGAGTTCTCAGCATTTCTAGCAAGAAACAGCACTGTGAAAGCCCTTTAGAAGTAACATGGTTCCTTTCATATCAAGGAACACTGATTTTTTAATGATTTTTGCAAGAGGAACAATATATATTTAAAAAAAAAAAAAAAAAGAATTACTTATCTTCTATCATAAGATAGATACTTATTTTCTTATCTTGTTGCTCTACCTTCTGGTTGCCTCCTGTCATGGAGTGACAGCTTCAGTAGACAAAGAAAGACCAGCTGATATAATCTACCTGGACTTCTACAAGACCTTTGATAAGTTTCACATAACATTTTTTGTTTCTAAAGTGGAAAGATAAGAATTTGAAGGGTAGACTATTCAACAGAGAATGAATTATTTGAATGGTCATGATCAGAGGGCCGTGGTCAAAGACTCTGTCCAGGTGGATGTCAGTAATAAGCTATGTCCCCCAGGGGTCTGCACTGGGACTGATGCTCTTCAAGATTTATATCAACAATCAGGACAGTGGGATCAAGCACACCCTCAGCAAGTTTACTGACATCAACTTGAGTGGTGTGGTTAATAGATCAGAAGAAAGAGATGCCAACCAAAGAGACCTGGACAGACTTGAAAAATAGGCCCACAAGAACCTAATGAGGTTCAACAAGGCCAAGCACTGCACTTAGGTTAGTGCAATCCCAGGTACGATAGAGACTGGGAGAACAGAAGAACTGGAGAGCAGCCCCTTGGAGAATGGCTTACAGCGGTGGACAAAAAGCTGCACATGAGACAGTAATGTGTGCTTGTAGCTCAGAAGGGCAACTGTATTTGAGACTGCATCGGAAGACTGATGGCCAGCAGAGAAAGGGAAGACACTGTCCCCCTTTACTCTGCCTTTTTTAGGCCCCATCTGCAGCTCTGTGTCCAGGCTTGGGCCCCAGCACAAGAAAAACACGAAAGTGTTGGAGTGGGTCAAGAGAAGGGCCACAAAGATGATCGGAGGGCTGATTCAGCTCTCCTATGTAGACAGGCTGAGGCAGCAAGTCTTGTTAAGCCTGGAGAAGAAAAAGCTCCCAGGAGACCTCACTGTGGCTTTCTAGCACTTCAAAGGAGCTTATAACAAGGAGGAAGACTGACTTTTCACATAAGCAGATAATGATAGGACCAGAAAATGGATTTAAACTAGAAGAGGGGAAAATTTTATTAGATACTAGGAAGAAATTTTCACTCAGAGCATGGTGAGGCGCTGGCACAGCTGCCCAGAGAAGCTGTGGTGCCCCATCCCTTCAGCACCCATGTTGGATGGGGTGGTTGGATGGGGCCCTGGGCAGCCTGAGCTGGAGGGGGAGCAGCCCTGCCTACAGCAAAGCACTCAGGAGCTAACAGTCCTCCAGCCAACAGTCTTCCCTCAAGCCAGTGAAAGCAGGTTCTCCCAAAATCTCTTTAGACAGAATGAGGAAAAAAATCCGTTCAAGACAGCAGAGAGCAATGACCAAAAAATAATACTATTTTTTAAAAAAGGTTTTTTTAATAAGCAAGTCTGATTGTAGCGCCAATGAAGATACCAGCTATAATGCAACTATATTTACCCATAATTGGATACATCTAGTTTTCAGAAACAGGGACCAGCAGCTATGCAGTAAAGTCCTTATCTACATTAACAAATACATTAACTCCAAGTCCCCACCCTCCTTCCTTCTTCTCTTTTTTTTTTCCCCTCCCATAACCTCCCAGCCTCTTTCAAACAGTGCAAAGAAACAACAAGCTGAAATGTTTTCTCCTTTTGGAGTCATTTTAATTAGAAAAAAAGTGTTAATAACACACTAGAAAATTCCACCGTAGCCAAAATAAAGAAATGCTCAGATTATTAACACTAATCTGACATGATGATGCATACACATCCTGCACATCTTGATGCTACGGAAGTCCCTTCCCTTAAGATCTTCTCCCTCCCCTCTAAGAAAACCTCCAAAATACTCTCCCTGGCCCTTCTGCCTGCCACAGACCCAAATGGAAAAAAAAACAAACAGCCTTCATGAAATAAAACAAGCAGGATGTTCCAGTGCTTAAATGACATGACTTAAAAAACAGCAGAGAACAAAAGTTAATCTTTACCTGGAAGAGATAAGTTAAAGAGGGGAGTATCCCAAAGCTTTTCTGGTAATTTTGACATCCACTGAGCATTTTCATGGCACACATGAATGGAGGTTTGCAAAGGGCCTTCCATCAGTACTGTCCTAAGACTTCATAGACTGTCCTGGGAGGGAAAAAAAAAAAAAAAAAAAGAAAGAAAAAAAAAAAGAATAAGATTTGTTAAATTATTTCACAATGCCATTGGACCTGCGCAGAACGCATTTATTCCTGCTATAAAACAACAAGCTTTCAAAAAGGTCATGAGCTTTGCAGTCACAAAACTCACTGCTTTAGACGACACTCTCCTAGTGTGATGCCACAGGTACATTCTGGCTTCAAGCTGGCAAACCAACCAACTGGAAGAAGAATGGAGCCAAAGCAAACAAGGCTCTGATGGTGTGGAAAAATTATTATCTACAGAGGCTACTACAACATCATGAGAGGCAGCCCATTTCCAGTGGGAAAAAATGTCTACTTCCTGAATCCTTGACAGAAGGAGGACTGAGTCTTCTGCCCACAGGGCCCTGGGGGTCACAAAGCACCACACCAGCTGCCAGACCAATGCCTTTATGACAAGTCCTATTTTCTGTTGAACAATGGATTTTCACATCAAGATGAGTCTTAGGGTCAAAGGGGAAAACTTCCATCTTCTTATTCTGTTTTGAGAAGATCTCTTGACGTCTGCTCTTATCATCCCTATGGAGCCCATGATTACGAGAACTTCAGCTGGTCAGACTTTCCAGAAAGCTACTCTGGAAGTGTTCTTCTTGAACATGGATCTCTCCAGGATCTTCTGAAAAGTTTGCAATGGTCAGGAGTGCCAGCAGATGAACTCCAGCTGAGAAATCATACTAACCCTCACCTGAGCACACTGGAGTTAATCTGCTTATTTTTCACTCTGTGTTCTCTTGAACAATGCAAAACATGAAGACAAGCTCCCTATGCCATTTTTTCTTTTCTTTATAAGATGTTGCTTAAAGTTCAGGTGATGTTTGTAAAGATAAAAGCCTTCCTTTGTTTCACTCATTTCAAGGGTCTTTCTTACCCAGCTAGGTAGTGGAACACTTTTTAGATCACGGCACAGTGACTACCTGTGATAACATCCCACCTTCCTTTTTCCTTCTTTCTTAAAAAGTTGGCACTGTGAACATTTCCTTCTTTTCTGCTGCAGATGCAGCAGTCAGATAAATACCATGCAGCTTTTGTGCTGTGCCAGCCTTCCTGACTTATCTTTATTCCTTCTTGCCATATCTCTGCATATTCATTCCTGAGATTGCTTCTCCCCAGCATATTCTTCATGTTGTCTGGGGAGATAGTTGGTTCTTCAGGATTTACAAGTGAGCAATGCTATTTTTATGAAGAACTCGTGGTTTCCTTAAACATTGTGCAATAAATTTTTTCAGCAGCCACGTGAGGTAATCTGGAAGGTAATGTCAGCAATTACATCACTAAGTTCCATGTACACATCACCTATAACAGACACAATCTGCTTTTACATCTGATGATGCATGTAGCATTGCTCACCCAGCCAGCCAGCTGCACAGTTGATGAGGATCAGTCCATGGATCAGTCCAACCGAGTTCCTGCAGCCCAGCTGAGATACTGACAATATCACAGCGTTGGAGGGAAAAGCCCAGTGATATTGCCCTAGCGTCCTACATGTAATCTGGGATTTTTCCCTTTGGCTCACCCAGCCTTTGTTTTCCACTAACCTTTCAATGAGCCAAACTTACTAAAGGCTAGAAACCAGCGCTTATCAACACTTCTCAGCAGAGGTTTTCTGCCGTGTTCACTTCCTATGGAAGCTGACCATTGTCCTCCAGATGGCACAAGCTGCTGCCGCTACCCTGACCATGGTGGGACAACAAGCCCTCTTGGGCTTGGGGAAGCCAGTGGGGAGCAGAAATAGCAAGACTGAGCTAATGAAAAGAGATCAAACCAGGTTTTGGCTGTATTCCTGCAGAATACAAGCCCAAGATGCTCATATCACTACCTCCTAACTCACCTCATGGTTAGGATGCAGCATGTCCTTTAAGGCAAAACCAAGGCTCGCCTGGAAGAGTGAAACTGCAACAGCTAGCTACCGCTTTTCATAAGTAAATCTCGAACTCCGCAAAAGAGAGCAGTGCCTTTATTCCCACCTCCCCGCCCAAGAACCTGATGGAGAAGCCATCCTCTGCACGCTGCTGCCACGACGAACCACCCTCAATCCCCACGAGCTCCCGCCCGCTTTCTAACCTAATCGTGTAACGCAGCTTAATTACAACGCCGGGACGCAGACAACAAACAAGCAGTAAGGCTGAAATACGCCAAGAGCTTCGGGTGGCATCGCCACGGGATGCCCGCAGCACGGCAGAGGGGCCGGGTGTGCCAGGGACCCGACGGCCAAACGCTGCAAAAAGCCGCCAGGAAAACGAGATTGGCGAACGTCGGATGACATAATTAAAGCATTGGCTGCAGCCTAACCGGGAGCAAACCAACGCCACGGTAATTACACGACAGATTTTCATGTGAATTACACTGACTGCAACGACGAGGACTGAATTCCCAGGTGGAAAGGAGGAAAACAAAACCGAAAAACACCGCACGGCGTTACAGCACCCTCTACTTGCACCCTGCCATCTCACCGCGGGCAGCCAGACTCCCCCTCCCTCTCCACTCCCGCCTTACCCACCCGGAGCAGCCGCCTCGCCTCCATCCCAGCTCCTCGGGGCACCCGGGCAGGACCCAAAGGGGAAGAGGCCCGACCCCACCCCTCCCGGCTCCGGGCGGCCGGTCTGGGAAGGTGACGGGGCGGGAGGAGCCAGTCCGAGCGCCGGTGGGACGCTCAGCGGGCTGAGAGCGTACTGCTGCAGGAGGGAAGGAGCGCCTGCGGACAGCCTTCAACCGCCCCGCAGCTGCACTGGAAACCTACCAGCTCCAAAATAGTTCGAACGTGTATGTACGTTAACTGCCCGCTTTGTCCAACAGGCAAAAGAGCAAACTCTTTCTCTACTGTAGGACAGATTTCCAAATGGGTCACCAGCAGCAGAACTGGGATCAGGGCCCAGGCTCTAGGATTGTATAATGGCCAGAGCAAAGGAAAATTCAGGCTGCTGCTGTGCTGGGCCTCTTAATGCAAGGGTATCTTTTCCAGGTGTTTCTTTTCCACCATCTCATTTTGGTGGAGCAAACCTTGCAGTGGCGACAGCAGCCAGGATGGGTTGACGTTTCAGATGAGCAAGCCAAACCCTTGGTGAGTCCCAGGGCAGCACGGCTGCTGAGGATTCACAGCAGTGTCACAGCTCACACTGTTGCCCATTGATAAGTCTCTTCTGCAGATACAGAATAGACCTGTGACTGGTTGTAAAGCTAAGCACAAAAAGAGCACCAAGAGGGATGAAATAGAGCAACAGAGAGGGTAATCAAATGCTGTTTAGATGCTGGGAGGATTTGCCCCAGTATGACAGAAAATGGCTGAGAACAGTTACAGGACAACTATTGTCATGCTGTTTGTGAGTTAAAAGAAATGGGAATGTATTTCAAATAGGAAAAGTTAAGAGAAAAAAAAAAAAACAAACCTCAATCCTTCATTAGAAAGTTATGACTGTGAAGGTTTGACAAGAGAGTAACCAGGTAGCCTCTGGATGCTATCATGATGGAAAAATGTAAAGCACTTGTGAAGCAAACTTGGGTGAAGTTGTCGGGATTATCTGGGAAAATATGGCTATGGAGAGGGAAATTTAAAAGCTATTTTTGTGTTGATTTGATGCAAACAGCAGAAGACAAAGAAAGAACCATGGAACTGAAATCCCAAAACATTTTATTCTGCAAGCATAAAAATAAGACTTCAAGCTGTAATGATATGAAGTCTCTGTTGATCCACATGAAAAGAACTCTTGCAGGTCTCACCTCAGTGGAAAAAGCCCTCTCTAACCCATACCCTTTCAAGTCTGAGTTTGGGTCTCAGTTTTTCTTAAGTTGCTCTGGAATTACTGGAAATGTCAGCACAGTGACTCATGTTTTAACCCCTAGACCAGAAACTCACTAGGGGGATTTAGGAAGCCAGTAAAAGGAGGAATGACAGGAAATTAATCAGCAAACAATTAAGCTCTGAATAAGCACATCTCCCAAGGAAGGGTCAAGGCAAGGATAGCCTTCAGCAATATTTGCAGATTTCAAGATGAAGAACGTGGGGGAGGTGAAAGCCCAGGGTTTCTCACCACAGTTGCAAAATAAGCATCTGCATTTAGAAGTCTCATAGTGGAGCACAGAAATACAGGGCAAAGAACCTCTTACCCAGAAGGAGCTTTTGAGGCATTCAGAAATGAGAAGGTTTAAAGCTGGTAGCATTTGAGAGCATCAAAAACAGGCAGATACACAGGCTTCAGCACTGTATCTTGACAAAAATGCGGATCTAATTTGTAGCTGTGGATCAGAGCGAAACATTTCTGGTTTGTTAGTCAGAGTGACACCAGACAGAGAAGCTTAAGCTGGACTTTACACATTTCTTCAGACCTGGCTGCCCAAAATACATTGCACTCAGCCTGAGAGAAACCAGTGTTTCAGATGACTTTCAGGTTTGTTAGGTTTTTTTAAATGTTTTCAACACTTGGGATATTGCATGAGATTTTTTTTCTTCCCTCCCTGTTTTGTTTTGTTTTTTAATTATTATTATTACTATTTTCAGCCATGACACATCACCTTTCCCCTATGCTGTAACATACAGAAATGTCACCAAGCATTTCAACAGCTTTAGCCAACATTTGAGGTGTTTGTTTGTTCTGCGGACATTCGCAACACCCCAGCAATGTATGTTTGTTCCTGCTCTAACTGACTGATAAATCCTCTAATCTTTCACCCAGTTTCTGTCCTCAGGAACAAACAGGTAGCTTAGTATTTCAGAGAGGAGGCTGTGTAGCAGCAGTTGCAATGACTCCTGAGAGCAGAGGAAACAGTGAGGAGGTGGCCTGCAAGAACAGCAAGGCTTACAACAGCAGGGCCTACAACAACAGCAAAGCTCGCAACTACAGTGGGACCTACAACAGCAGCACTCAGGGCAGTCACAAGGCCTGGGCTCTAGGGAAAAAAATCAAGCCAGGCCTGCCCAGAGTTGGTTTCTGGTTCTCAGTTCTTGTTTTGGGACTTTCTGTTGCTGTGTTGACTCCAAGCCTGCAGTACTGTGTCACATAGTTGTAGTCAAGAAATTCAGCTAATTTGGAGAATTAGAGAATCAAGGGTAAATCTGCAGGAAAAGGATTGAGATGGTCAGGTTAGTTCAGGTTGCCTCATCTTCTAGCTGTATGAAAATTGCACCAGTCACTTTGTGACACCAAGCTGGTAAGAGTCCTGCAGCTGAAGTTAGGTATGCTGGACAAGGAAAGATAAAATGGCACAGGAATCATGAGGAACTACTGGTTCTTGTTGTTCTTTCAAATAGGTAATTGGCTTTGTCTGTTGGACCACTGGATCTGGAGACCACAGAAGACCAACTAGCATGTGAAAGCACAGGAAAGATGGTAGTGATGTCATAGAAGAAAAGGTTGGAGGAGGGGATAAGGAAATCTCTGTCATCAGACTTACAGGCTAAGATAGGAGCTAGAATAGAATCAGGCATTTTTGTTAAATGTATTCCCTACGTGGTGAGAACCCATTTACCTAGAAACTAGGGGGACAGTGAAAATATTGCATTCCTGTCTGCTAAAAGGGATTCCAGTTACAGGAAGTGAAAAAGGGAAACCTGCTCCTTCCATTCCCCTCTTTTCTAAGCTTTTTTCCTAGTCCTTTTCCTGGATTATCCTTCAAAATTATGTGGATACAGCCAATCTGGGCTGTGGTAACTATTTTCTCACCACGCTCCCAATTCTACATTAATCCCTTTTCTTTTTTTTTTTTTTTCTTTCTTCTTTTCCTTTTTCTTTTTTTTTTTTAATAGTTGGAAAAGGTCAGAAACAATCTTCTTCTATGACAGTCTGATCCCCATGCAGAAGCTGAATCAGCAACTTAGAGCAACACCTTTCCTACAGGATGGCATGATGTGCAGCAGCCCAGGCAGGAAGGGAGCTGTGGCATTACTGTGCCCTGCCCATATCTGTCCTGTGTGCAGCTCCTAACCTGGTGTCAGTCAGCGGGGAGAAGTGGCAAGGACTCCTTCAACTTAAATCCATCACTGTGGCACAATTGAGCGAGTAAGCCTTATGTCCTCCAACAATCTTGATCAACATCAGACCTTCTTCCTATTATCAGCTGTGAAAACCATGCATCTGCATCCTAAGGGATACATTTCCAGTACCTTTGATACTGGACAAAGGCTGAAGCTAAGGGTGTCTGGATCTTTAAGACAACCAGGCCTAATTCCTGTGGATTTCATGCAGGTTAAACCTTGATGGCTTTGGTCTCATAGTGAATCTTTGGGGAATAACTCCAAATATTGTCTAAAAGTTTGTTCCTGTTCCTCACCCCCACCCCCTTAATGTCATGCATTACTGATTAGCATTGCCAGTCCCTGTAACCACAGCCTGCCCTGGAGTAAGATCTTTCACTCATGAAGTGACTTCCCTACCAACAGAATAATAAAGGTCAGATGAACTGGGTGCTCTGTGCAAAAGCAGCCCTCCTCCATGCCCTGCAAAATCACATCTGTTGCATTTCTGTAGGTAAACTTGTTGTTCAAGTTTGGTCTCAGCATGCATATCATATGCATCTGGCCATATAGGCAAAAGCATACAAGAATGGACATCCAGGGCAGTGCAGGCACGATCTGTAATGACCTGCAGTAGAGGCTGATTCTCCAACAGAACATCACTCTGCAAATGGTACAAGTCATCTGAGGCAGAGGCTAGAGGTACAGGGCTACTGGTAGATGAGCGCAGGATGTCAGACTGGGTCAAACACTGCTAACAATAAAGGCTAAGATCTGCAACAGGAAAACATGATGTATTAAGCTGTTCTAAAAGGGCCAAGTGACCTAACAAAATACTTTGTCCTTTATTACATTTTTTTCCTTTATTACAGAGTAACAAAACACGACAGCGACAGTGCAGTAATTTATAGTACAGATAAACTACTGAATATATATTACTGTGTCTTCTTTTTCTGTTACCATGGCCTAAAAATAGCCATCTATTGGTAGATTGCTTTCCATAGGTACTTGCTGAAAGCTTATATCAGGAATGCAGAGCTGAAAAATTGCACAAGATACACACGTGCTGCAGCTACAGGTAAATCCCACTCTTGCATACTCTGGATAACAACTCTGCTAGAAGTGTATATACAGACATTCTTGTTAGCACTTCCCACTCACAGCCAAGTCTGTGGTATGCTTTATTTTGCCTAAGTTTATCCATCACTATCCAGAAATACACTCAGTAATGGCTCACCTCTCCCAGACTTTCTAAGAATAATAAGTACTCTTCAAGTTGTCATATGGCATTCCTATTAGGGGATATTACTAGCACAGCATACAGAATGCAGTGCCGTCTGGCCACAAAAACAGATTTACCAAGCCTCAAAATACAACATTAACAAACCACCTCCTATTGAAGGCAGTGGCAAAAAGCCACCACCATGCACTGGGAGCTCAACGTCTGCTTGAGCTCTGCGGTTTGTGTTTGTGTTTAACAAGAGAAACAAGAAGGTACAGAGGAGCTGTTCTAGCTAAGACCAAAGCCTACCTGACAATCATTTTTTCAATTGGATTCAAGGTGCACTAAAACTTTTCTAACTACTCCATGCCCTGGTAGGACTTTGCACATCTCTCTACGAGGAAAATCATCCATTGGCTGTTATAAACAAATCGTGTCCTAC